TCCGGGAACCGTATGACTTGTGCCAGTCTCGTGCGGCACCGTGAAGGCGGGTGACGGCGTTGAGCAGAGTGAGGTTTGGTGTCCAGTTTGCAAGGAGAGCCCCCCGTTCGATTTCTCGAAGCCACTCAGCGATGTTTTTGTATGACTCCCCCTCGAACGTGGGAATCGCGTGCGAAGTGTCGCTCGTGGAGTGGACGTGGAGGGTCCTCGTGGACTGTCGTAGGGTCTCGGCCAGTTGTTGTTGCGTTTGGACGATGACCGACAGCAAATCAACCGTTGTTGCATTGCCGCTCACCTGCGTTGTCGTGCCCAGCGCAGAAGCATCCGTCGTGGTTACTTCTCGTTCTAGTCCGTTTCCGTCCGTCACGTTGACGCCATTTTCTGGGTGTCGTATTGAAAACGCGTTGTTGAAGGCCAGGATTAGTTGCTGGAGTTGAATTTTGATATCTTGTATCTCTTGATGCACGGTGTCTTGATTGGTGGTTTCCGTTCCCTTGTTGGAGTCCGTGATCAGGGCGTGGTCACCGGTTTCGTTGGATTCTGCAAATCCTGTCGACTGCGCCATGTCAGCGGTGGCCGGGTGCTGACGTTTTGTTATTTAATAATGCGACATTGATTTGAGAAGCAAGTGAAATAGCATTTATTATACTAGATTAACTTCTGATTTCATGGAAAGGTCTCTTTTGCGTGCTTTACGTGGCGTGCCTCCAATCGTTCTGTGTGAGGTTTCTTCCCACGCAGGCACAAGCGGTGCCCCCTTCCCAGGCAGGCGCTATGGGCGAAGTTCAGTGCACGCTCTCGCAAAGCGTAAACAAGCTGGGCCCGCAACCCCGTGCACTCGCAAAAATCACGTATTGAGGATCCAGATCCCGCCGAGGCAAGACAAACAAGTAGACAAACGAGCTGGGCCAAGCTAACAAGTGCCCCTTTAAAAGTAGCTGCCCGGAAGCTCCGCAGGAAGGATGCCACGGCTACGCCGAGGCACTGTGGCTTGCGAGGACAGAACGGCGTGAAGCACTATTCGGTTCCTTAAAGCCTTCTTTTTGCCTTCGTATTTGGATTCTGGGGAAAGAGGAGGAGGATCCATTCATGCCTGGTTACAGCCGGTGGGCAGCGTTCGGCTCTGGAAGATACATCGACAATACGAGCACTTGTTGAGGGGAGATCCGAGGAGGGTTGCGATACACCCTATCCAAAGAGAATTGCGGCACGCATTGTGTCCTTGAAGTCCAAGTTCCCTATATACTGAAAGGTAGCTTGATTCCCACCCTCTTCGCGTTTTCTTTCTTTCGATTGTAGGCGATCCTTCTCGTCCTTCTTCCCAGCCACTTCCTCCGCTGCCATTTTCGTGAAGGCCCACAAGGAGCACGTAGGCGCGTGCCTCTGTGTGCCTGGCTGTGCTTGTTTGCTCTTGCATTGGGCGGACTGCAGAAAATTTTTTTAAGATATAAAGACAGTTTTTAAGATGTGAAAACATTGGCAAATATAATAATGCAAGCAGAGTTGTAGTCGCTCAGGTGTGAAGACAAGCTTGTTCTAATTCTGCTGAATGCGGATGATCTAAAAACAAAATGCCAATGTGGTCTTGAGTATTTTGGGACATCGACATGCACTGCAAAAATATGTCGCATTTACCCATTTATTGCAGCAAGTTCTGATAGCAAGCAGACGATAGGATGCACCTCTTCCTCCATGTAAATAGACAGTATTAGTGAATCGTAGGGTGTCTATCATGTGCGCTTTTTCTGGGGAGATGACATCTGGCAATTTTGTTCCAAATGCTTATTTTTATTTTTGTTCTGAAGTGCGTCAAATAGCGTGTCCCTGCATGCACTCGTTGCGCTGACTGAGCTACGGCGACAATTTGTGTTTGGCGATTTGTTTGTATTTTCTCTGCGAGCACATGCTGCCGGCATCGGCTACTGAGCTCCAGGCTTTCAGCGTCCCTGCCAAGCACGCGCGTTTCTGCAGTGCAAGTGCTGTTCAGGGCCACATGCTCGTGCTTGTAGCACCGGCTACATCTGGACTAAACCTGAAACGAAGTATACAAAGGATGGCATCACAGTCGCTCGTACTGCAATCGTGTGAACCGTAGCTGAGATGGTCGACGTTGATACTGAAAATCGCAATCAGAATCGGACCAAGTGAATCAGGCATAACAAGTCTGTGATGGCCACTGGTAACAATTATCAACATCTCCTTGTATGTACTGTTTACACGGAGCCTACTTACCCCAACCAACCCTCAAACATAAAAGTCTGTTGAGGCCTGCAGTTCCTATCGCAATTACCGGGTCAAAGTTTGGTCTACGGGCCGCTGTCATTTGAACTTCAAACGAGCAGACGAAAACACACAGAAATGTTTGAAAGAGTAGACGACAGTTCGAACGATCAAGCGGCCGTTTGATTTTGAAGACGCACTGAATGTAGTCTGCAGGGGGTCAATATAACTTGGCGGTTTTCCCGCATTCAAGTTGGAACAAAACAAAAAAATCTGACGACCACAAGTATCCATGAATTTCACCCAAACTGCTTCCCGCACTAGCAATCTTGACCCGACGACGTCTGGTTCTCCTTTTTCACGGCCATATCCACGTAGTACTTGGCCGAACCGAGCAGGCAGAAGACACGTGAAAACTGACCTTCAAGCATTTTCCAACTCTTTTGGTACAGCCCCAGTCACAACACTTTAATGAGAAGGCAAGATTTTATCTGGTTTCGTACACACGAATCCACGTTGTGCAGGGTGACTTCTGCCCACAGTTCCAAACCGGAAGTACACCCTATGCGCACCACCGTGCCGTGACGTAACAGAGCTGAGTTTGTGTATGCCATGAAATCACGTAAGGGTACCTTCCCCCGAGAGATCACCCATTCCATTTTTCTGGTTAAAATATCTGTAACATAAAAATTCCGAAACATCGCCCACCCCCCGATTCCGCATTGGACATCAAGTGATGTCCAACGGGAATCACGCATCAACGGTGCGATCTGTGGTACCGGTGTCCGAGATGTTTGTTCATATTGGGTTTCCGCGTTTTTGTCTGCCATCTGCGCGCGTGATATCAGCTCCCATAACACGCGAGTTGTTTCCGCGTGTATATTGCATTGTGAAATGCGAATCTGCTGCGTTCGCGATTTGCGGTATCTGTTCCCGAGTTCGTAGCGTATTCCTGCATTATTGTCTGCAATCTGCGCGCACGCTATTGGTTTCTGTGACAGACAGGATTGTAGCGGGTTCCCGCATGTTTATTGCACCATGAAACTTGAATCTGCTGCGTCCGCAATCTGTGGTATCCGTTCCTGTGAGATGCTAGTTCTTGGCAGGTTTCGCGAGCCCTTCGCACCATGAAACGCGAATCTGCTATGTCGGCCACTTGCGGTTTTCCTTCCCGTGACACGGGAGTTTGTAGCGAATTCCCACGTGTTTATCGCATCGTGAAACGCGAATTTGCCGTGTCCGCTATTTGCGGTATCAGTTCCCGCGTCATGTGGTTTGTAGCGGGTGCCCTGTGCTTATCATTAATGTTTGATGAAAGTTTGCTGTGGCATCCCCAATGATAGCCCACTGCATGTTTTTCACCATTTATCTCTTCATTTTGTGTGGGCGTTCTTACGGGATATTACGGTAGTATTATCTTAAATGAAGTGCATTTGCAGACTCAGAATCACTCGACCTAAGGTTCACTCTGACATGTGCGTTGGTTGCGTTCAAAGCGACAGCAAAGACGAAGTCACCGGGGCAAGTGCTTCCCGTACACAACGTGGCAAGTACAGAAGGTAGATTTGATAGTCGATAATGTGCCATGTTTTTCCTGGTGTCCAGGTTGGTGCTGTCTGTTTGGTCGCTGTGGACACAACCGATGCAGATGTGTGAACTGGGCTTTAGACAAATAAAAAACAGCACAATGCGTGCAAACTCAGGACAGAAAGATTTTTAGAGGGAAAGGGCATGGGCGAGGAGGAATTTCTCTTCCCCATTTCAGACAATGGTTTGCGCTACCTTTCAGCATGTAAGGACCTTATTTTAGCCCCAACTGCCATACTCCAGGCGCTTCTTTTGGAATGCCCGACTCTACAAGAGCATTGGTATGCCGCGTGGTCTCAGCTACCCAAAGGCGTAGAAAAGCAGCTGGATCTACTTCCTTACGGGGTGTCCAGACTACTGTAAAGCAGCATTAGACTTACTTGCATACTTGTAGGAGGTGGGCCTCTTCCCCTTTCACCAGATGCCGCTAGGCAAGAGAATGGAAAGTAATTACGTTGTGTGTGCTTGTTTGGAGAGCAAGAAGTTGGCCCGAAAGGCCATTCGGTGTCTCCACTGTAGATGAAGTTTAGCCAGTGCAGTGTTACTGCTAGCCTTGAATCCTTAACAGTTGTGATACAAAACCGCACTCCGGTGGGGTGGTCGTTGAGACCGAAACGGGCAGGGGTGGGGATTGAACCCAGGATTCCTCGGTTCTGCAGTGCGAGCTCTCGCTTCACATTCTCTGAGCCGCGGTGCATTAACTCACTTGGCAATTGACCCTCATTAATAAGCCATGCTTTTCTCACTTTATTCTGGATTTGACCAGGTGCCGTCAACATTCGGTGCAGCTCCATTCGAAGCTTCTATCAATGTCTTGGATGTTAATGGCCCCTGTGGAGTGTCTGCTCGGTTGCTTTTCTGGTCCATAGTCATTTTAAGACTTTGGTCTAAATGCTATTGAGGATGTTTATGACTTATGACTTTGAGATATTCATAGCTATGGTCAGGGTGACAGTGCGGCTTGCTTGTTTAAGTGAGTGCAGCTTGTGCACTCTTTACTCGTCGATGCACGGGCCTGGTTCGTTCAAGGGTTGCGTTGGTTTAACTAATTGCATTCGTGGTTGTACTTCAAGAAGGTTTCTTTTGTTTTTGTTGATGTGGTTGAAGGCACTGACTTGACCAGCAGGTATACTTAATAGTGGCAACATCGCGAAAGGTTTCGTCAAAACCCCTTGGCACTTTGTGCGATGCAGATACTGTACGAGGAGACGATGAAGAAGAAGGACGCCGACCGGGACGGCTACCTGTCCCTGGAGGAGTTTGCGTCGGAGGACGCTGACAAGCCCCTGACGAGCGAGCAGTTCCTGGTGGAGAAGGAGAGGTTCGAGATGGACTACGACCGCAACGGGGACAAGAAGCTCGACAAGCAGGAAACACTCAACTGGCTGCTCCCCGGAAACGAGTATGTGCTCAGCTCGATAGACTCTTGGAAAACCCTCGAAGGACCTTAAAGGGACACTGACTGGGTTATTTATGCTCGCCAAGGCTCTTATTTGTACGCGACATACGAGAGCCCAACTACCCAGAACACAATTTGTGGCTCGAAATTCGTTTTTTTTTCTGCCCGAAAACCGTTGATCGGGAACTGGCCGGTTTGAGTCGCGCTCCGTGGTCACGTGCCATTCTCTTTGGTTTAGACACACGCACCAAATGTAATCAAAGTCGTAGGTCTTCGAAGAAACTCAATCAATATAAAAAAGAGAAACAAATATGATACCCATTTCTTTTTGGCTTCTGAGAAGCTGCAAGTGCTGTAATTAAAAAAGAAAGTGTCACAGAGAACTGGAAGCGCTCTGTGTAATTCTCAACAAGGTGTTGAGTTGCGGGCTGGACGGCTGAACAAAGCGATGGCGGCGGACGACGGGCGTGGGACCTCCATTTTACAACTGTCATTCGTGGTACCAGGGAATCTGTATAGCTTTGAAAAAGAAATCTTTTACCGATCAAGATAATTAAGATTTGTTCCGTACGACATGCCCGACCGCCGAGCTGATTTGCACGAAGACATCGCCGAGCCTTTTTCCCTTCTCCTGGCTCAGGGCATTGCTCGCCTTACGAACACGAATTGGTAAGAGCTTGAAAAACGTGCAAGTGCAAAGCACAAAGTGCTTGACTTTTTTGTTTTTGTTTTCTGCTTCGCACAACAAAAAAGAAGAAAAAAAAAGTGTTCAAGTTTAGTTACGTGACTTCCAGACATTTTCTTCTTCTCTACATTTCTTCTTCCTCCCCATTGCAGTTTTGGTCTAGGTTTAGAGCAGTTGCCTTTTTTTTACTTTATTACAATGATACGTGACTCTGTAGCAAAATATTGATTGGGTAGTCTTCTGACACCATATTAAATCTCCTAAAAATAATGTAAAAAAATATATTTTGGGGAATGTCAGCGTTTTTTTTTAAAGCAGGTGTTCTCAAACTGGGTTCCGTGGAACACAGGGGTTCCGCGAGCTGGTCTTATGGGTTTCGCAAACACCCAAGTTGCACACCCCCCCCCCCCCCTCCCCCCCACATTGCGGGCTGCACTGCAGGACCGTGTTAAGTGCCTTCATCTCACTTTGTATTGACATTGCAATTGACATGGTGGGGATATATGAGAAGCAACACAAGCAAAATTACCTACGATTGTGCTTGTGTTGCTTCTCAATTGGCAAATGTAGAGGGGGGAAGGGGCAGGGGTTCTACAGCAATTTTTGAGGCTTCCTGGGGTTCCATAGGACCAAAAGGTTTGAGAACCCCCGCTTTAAAAGAACACTAAAATAAAAATAATTCATCTTTTTTTTTTTTATAGGCAGGAATTTGACACTTTTTTTCATTTAGGGAGCAAAATATTTTTACGCAATATTTACGCTTTTAGATGCAATTTTGGTGGAGGCCACGGCCTGCTCTAAGCCAAGCTCATTACTACTGGACTGGCTTGGCTGCTCGGCCGAACATGCTCACAAGCCTAGTTTGTATGTTTCGCGACATCCGGTCCGTCTTGTCTGGTGTTTGACGTCCCCTGCCAGTCATGCGAGCAGACGCGTGGCAGTCTCCAGCATCGTCTGCTATTCTACCACCGTTTATCGTCATCTGCAACACTGATCTCTATTGTGGGAGGCTAGATAGCAGATGGGGAGCCTATCAGTGGCACCACCATCGGCCATTGCTTCACACCAGGCAATTCAAGCATGTCTTGAAGGCACACGCAGAAATAGGAACAATGAAGCTTGTGTGCGATGATTTAAGGCGAGTATTTAACGTACATGGGCAAATTACTTTCAAAAGGTAATTTAAGTACAATTACAATTTTGCTCCAAAAGTAGTTTAACTACAATTAAAATTACTACTACACAAAAATAATTCGTTACAATTACAAATTACTTTTAAAAAGTAATGCAATTGCTTTACAATTACTTATTTCTGAGAGCTACCCGCCTTGGGCCATGTAACTTTAAACGAGTTATATGGCCGCTGTATAAATGTCACATATTGTACTTTTCTTTTATTAAATTTGTTAAATGAATTATAGAACTTAATAGTTTGGAATACTTAACTCCTACATTCTTATATTCTCAATAAATAAAAATAAATATTTATTATTTTTTATTTTATTTTAAAACAAGCCCTTAACAGTCTAGAACCGCGGTTTGTAGAGTTTTTGAATCTCGCCCAATCAGGTTGAAAAACGGTTGAAAGGGTTAGGGGTTGGAGCAAACAGTAAATCATGAAAATTAATGCAGAAAGGTAGACGAGGATTGGGAGAGGGAAGAGCAATGTAGCAACAACGGTTGGATGTAAGGTGGGCTGAGTCGTGTTAATGAGACCTGCTGCTTCTTCGCCTCGATGTTAGAGTAGCACAATTTACTGTAAGTGGTACCAACAGGCAAGCTAGAGTAGAGAGACATGAATAACTCATAAAGAAAAGAGAATAACTTCATGGACAATAACATCCCCAACCTGTGACTGAAATATGTAAGCGAATATATTAGTGACGAAGACGCGTAAGGAGAACCTCGAATCTCCCCGCCCCGACCGGATGATGTCATCGGAGCCCAACCTGCTCGACTTCGAACCCCGATGCCCTTTGATGGGAGTGAGAAATAAGAAACACCCCTAGGAACGCGAGCAACAGGAAGCGAACGAGACGAAAAGACAGATTTCAACTGCGATCCGAACGAAACCCGACGGGAATGTAGCCCTCATTTACAAAATTATTTCTCATTTGTTTTTCATTAAATCGTTTTACAGTTTACAAAACCGTCCATTTCGTTCTATCCTAGCCTCTCTTTCCCATTCCTCCTTTCCCTTTTTTGAGCAGGTTGGGATACACTCTCTCCCATGTCACTTTGGCTGTACTGCCGTCCCCGTGGTCAGGGGAGGAAAAGCCCCGGCGCCATAAAATCTTGCTAAGTAATTGTAATTGTGCCTGAAATTTTGCAATTACTGATGCTAGAAAGTAATTAAATTACAATTAGCTAAAAGTAATTAATTACAATTACAAATTACCAGAAAAAGTAATTAAATTACAGTAATTCAATTACTGTAATTGAATTGCTACCCAAGTATGGTATTTAATGGTGTGCTGCCATCATTTTTTTGGGTGTTTGGAGATTGAATCGGCATTCGTCAAGTGTTCGAACGCTGATTGAAGAAAATCAAATGTGCCGCACACCGTTGATCATGCCAGTGTTGCTTGCTTCAGTTGCTAAATAAATGACACATTCAACAAATGAACGACACGGTCAGAGCTTTAGTTCGTCACAAAAGTACTCACTGCAGTTCAAAACTAAAGCTTGCACCAGAAGTACCGTGTGCAAGTGCTTCAAACGATGTGAATGTCCCTAGTAAAGGCCTTCTAACTTACCGTCTGCTGAGTTCTGATGACTTTGAGATCACGAACGACTCCACATGACTCTCAGCAACCCTTGTCTCATGGAACCGCATTACAGTTTACGCCTAACAATGTCGCGACCCTTGACCCTCAACCGCAAAACATTTATTTAAAAAAGATTTGTATTCTAGCGCTCGTGATCAACTGCCATTCCCATAAAACACAATAAAAGTTTCATCACCGAGAGCAACCTACCTTAGTATCCTGAGAAATAGCCCACCTAAAATCTAGAGCGGATTGGGTGAAATTAAGGAGTGGGATTTTCGGTGCAATATCAAGAAAAGTTGAAAAAAAAACTAGTTTTAGATCATGTCTTTTTTTTGTCGAACTTACTATCGCAGAGCGGGACAACGAAGCGAAGATTGCTGATCGGGCCATGGCCCGGTCAGCAATGTTTGCTCATATCCCGCCATAACTAACCAGCTGGATTCACACCGGGCCATGGTTGATAGGAGTTGGCTCTCTTTTGGTGTTTAAAAGAAAATAGCAAATCAAGCCAAAAATAAAGGTGGGTTATCTTTTTGGGGTGGGGCATATCTCGGGATAGGATGGTACAAAGGCAAGAAATTGCAGTTTTATTCGTTTGAACTATAGAGTCCCATGCATTAGCTGGAAACAAGTGGTGCTTGCCGGTGGTTCCACTCGACTCCAGTGAGACAAGCCTCCATGCACGATCCAGCCTACTGCAATAGAGATCAGTGATCTGCAATGCCTGTAAAACGCAACCACGCAAGCAGTGTGTCCGCATCTTCCGTCGCTTGCGTCCGTCTGCTATTCTGCCCGCGTCTAAAGCTCATCTTGCGAGCACTTTCATGCTGTCAAGACGCGACCATGAAGGTGGCGTCCTAGTGTTCTATTGTGCATGAGCCTCAGTCCAATACAAGCGTCTGTCAGCGTCTGTCGATGTGCGGTAAAGAATGACCGAAAGGACAAAAAAAAATCCACAAAATAATAAAGCAGTCCTTTCTGTTTTAAGGTGAAAGCCTTACTTGTTCCATCGAGTGAAAAGCGACGTATATTGCCATACAAATATGATTGAGCGGCACGCGCTGCTTAATCGTATTAGGCCATCCTAAAGGTCGTCCTAGGGGTTTACCTAGACTTCTATTACGACCTTACTTGCCCCATTACGTGAAAAAGCGGCGCCGTTGTGCCTGGGAGATGGCCATAAAAATATGTCATCAAGCATGCGCCGCTCACGCTCAAATGTGGGAGCTTGATGTCACCGCCGGAGCGTCGTATGCAAAAGATACGCTTCAGACTTCCTCTGCGCTCGTTGTGTGCTTTGTGTGATGGACTGTGAGGCAACCGCGTCTACATCTACGGCCTCAGCATCGGCAGCAGTGTCTGCGTCTACGGCGGCTTCCGCAGGCAAATGGGGCCACCCGTGCAAATACGCCACTGCCTCCTTAAGTGTCCTCTTCAAGGCGTCGTTCTCGACGTCGTCCCAGCCGTCCTCTTGGCATCGTTCTCGACGTTGTCCTAAAGGTCATCCTAGAAGTTGTCCTAGACACTGTCCTAGACGCCGCTCTTGA